TGCACTGCTGCAGCAGCACAAGTCATTCATACATACACTTCACTGTACACACACTGGCAACAGCAGCAGTAGCTACTATTCTACTGTATGAGTGTGTGGGAATAGTTTGTTTTTCCCTTGCTACTGTTACTGTGCTGTTCTATACTGCAACACTCTACAGCACTGTGTACTGCAGTGCATTGTGCGTGTGTGTGTGTGCGTGTGGGTGTGTGTGTGTGTGTGTGTGTGTGTGTGTGTCCCATCTTCGGAGCTGATGACTTGGCCCATTGACTGTCTCTGGCGTCCCAATGGCGTCTGTCTTGTCATTTTCAGAACGCACCTGTCATGACTACCAACCTGTCAAGGCGACCACCTATCCCAGACGACCACTGCAGCCAGGACCAAGGGATGCTTTTCCAGTCAAATAGCCCTGGAAAAGGAGACCACCTGCTTGCAGAGACCACTCTTGGAAGGCCCTTAAGCGGTCGTCTTAGACAGGTTTCACTGTCCCAGTACTAGTAGTAGTGTAGGAGTTGCATTTTCATAGAAAGTATATTTTTCGCAGTAAAAGAGTATTTATTTGTAGAGCTTGTGTTGATACAGATTCCTAGGTTCAAACCCCAAGATGGGCAGTTAGTTACATTTTTCTCTCCTTGCGTATTTTGTATCTGCATGTTATTACCCTTTCCGTGAGTCGCTCGTGAGTAATGTATGAGTTGTGTATGGCTAAACCCGTATTTACCCGTATGACTGCTGCTAGTGTTATTGTTCTAGAACATTAGCATAATTAACCAATCACAGTTCACAGCTCTGGAATATTCTAGAATTTCGTCAGCAACCGGTTTATATAAATTACTGATTGGTTGATGACCTAAAAACATGGCTGCCGTTCGCCGTGTGTTTTGTCTTCTTGCATTGTTCTTTTCTTGTGCTTTTCACTTCTTATCTTTACTTGCCGAGTGTGTAACTAATAATTCTGTCCTAACGAGTATTCGTGAAACCACAAATTGAGTGCTTTGTTTGAGTGTGTGAAATTGTCTCCGAGGGCCAGCTACTACATTGGTGGCAGCGGTGGGATTCGAACCCACGCCTCCGGAGAGACTGGAGCAACAACATTCCTACAGAGTGCAGAGTACAGTCATGTAGCTTGAAAGTAAGGTGTATGATAGACTGTCACGTGATCAGTATGATTGACTGTCACGTGATCAGTATGATTGACTGTCACGTGATCAGTATGATTGACTGTCACGTGATCAGTATGATTGACTGTCACGTGATCAGTATGATTGACTGTCACGTGATCAATATGTTGACAGGCTGCCCTGCCATCCAGCGCCAGCCTGCAGGCCTGGCAAGGAGTGCTTACACGTCGTTGCAGACTTGCAGTCACTTGCTAGAGAACTGGAGAACCACCCTCCCATTGTCGTCAAATCCGTGACTGGCACGAGCCTTCATGATAGGATCATTATACACCAGCCTCCTGTCCATGCCCTTGCATGCTTGGTTTTGGTTTGGTTTTTATTATTTGAGTTCGTTGCCTCAACAGTACAAAGTACAAATATCAAGAGGGACGAAGGAAAAGAGAAAGGAAGACAGAAAAAAAGAAAAAATTCACCTACTAGTATACCTGGTAGTGCTATAGTCTGCGGAGCGAGCCTGCATCGACACCGCTGCGGTTTCGTTGATTGTAGCCTCATTCAGTGCGTGTCTCATCAGCTTGTTGTGTTTGTATCTTCAAGTCCTCCTTTTTTTACAAATTGGGTGCGTGTTGACTGCTGAGACGGTCATGTGTATCCGCCATAATATACACAGAGTATGAAAGACTATGGTATGGCCCGGGCAATGACCACCCCCTCCACCCCCACCCCCTGGCGGTTCTGCAGAAACATTTCTCATTGACAGTACGTCAGCAAAACCTTTTCCCCGCATACATGTACATTACTATACTAACACCTGCTGGCCACGATGCCGCTCACCAAACAGTGGTGCTTTGCTCATACTTTGCGAATTGGCTCAAAATATTTGAAATCACAAATCCGAACCGAGTTGTAGCAGATTGTGCAAACAAAATCCAAGTTTACCAGTGTTGTGTTAGCAACTGATTTATCCTAAATCCCAATGGCCCTGCTGTGGAGGATATTCTGATCAGCTCGGTTTACCGCTACCAAGCCGACACATTGCAGCCGACATGACGTGTGTGTGTGTGTGTGTGTGTGTGTGTGTGTGTGTGTGTGTTCATGCGAGTGTGTATGCAAATGAATGTGTGTGTGTGTTTTATGTAGGGTAGACTGGACTGGTGTGGACTTTCCAGCACATACACCAGTATCAACATACATGCCCGTGCAACCCACGGCGACACTGGTGCGGCACTGGTGGTGAAGTGGTGGAGAGGACGATGGAGAGGGCATACGGTTTAATTGTGGCATGCAGCAGCATGTGTTCATCTATATCCTGGACTTGCACTACGTATTGGATTCATGCTCCCACCTACATCTATTACATCTATTTGGAGCATGGCAGCAGGTGCAAGTGAACAGAGTTTAGCCACGAGGACCATTATTGACATTGTGTCTGCCGGCCATGTCCTGATGCCGACTGTCAGCAGAATGGAGTTCCTGTCAATGCCATGCCTACACCTTCTACAATATACAGAAAGGAGTGTATTCATCTGGCCGGAGTATCTTCACATGGCCGGACCAGCTGCAGCTTGCAGAATTTGAAACATGTTCAGCCGGACGGAGCGTCTCCAGCTGGCTGGATCCTGGTTAATGTCGAGTTGTATACTGCTCATGTCAAACTAAATATTTGCAACGGTAAACTAGACATGAATACGAGTTAAGTAAAGTGACAAGACTTGCTCAAAATCTTTCTCACTCCCCCAAAGTGATTTCCTTTCATTATTTCCCACCCAACCTCCGTCCAGGCTACACATAAGCGTTTTGTTCTGCACATTATGTTCTGGCTGAGGTGCTCTCATGAGGTGCTGGCCATGATCGCAATAGCAGAGAGATGCAGAGGATTCCAGTGTGTTATTGAGCCATGTTGGTTGGTTGGCCCAAGTTGGTATATTTTATTTTACTTCGCCAGAATGAACAGGCATTGCTGCCTTCTTGCCTGGACAAGTGGATTGTCCAAGCTCTCACAAAAAGACGATGTGATCAGACTGCAGCATGCACATGACAGAGGGTTTCAGCTTTGCATTCTTTTGCCATTGGTAGAGTGGTGTATGATTATCACGGTATAGGCCTATTGCCTCCATATACATTGTAATACCAGCTCTATTCTATATCATTCACGCCGGAACTGCTGCTGCTGCGTAGCCCCAAGTCTAAAGACTTGGCAACTTCACGCCTGCACCTGACTCTTGCGAAATGATACCCCTCAGAATTTCCCACCTTGCTCTCCCTTATGTTCAGGCTGCCCGTTTTGGAGCCATCAGTTGCCTGATGATCGTAGGAATACGTGAAACTCAGAGCTTCCAATCTCTCTTGTGTACATTGTAGTATCTCACAGTCGGGAGGGTGCATGTTGACTGCTGTCTGTTATGTCACTCAGCCGCATATACATTGTATCTCTGCAGTGATGTGCAGTGATGTGTCCACATATGCATGAACAGAGCATGTCAGAGTCCACATTGCTACGTTGCTAAGCCGCATGATGTAAATCTGTGCCGCACTGATGGGTGCACTACAAACAAGAATAGATCATTTTCAACATGTCTGCAGAGAGAGAGAGAAGTGACTTGTATGGATTGCCTTACAATGAATCCTGTGCTGTAAAAGCTCAGGTTTTTGATTACATGTACATCAAGCCATATTGTGTTTCTTTTTTTCAATCGTGTCTGAAATGTTGAAGTGCATGTTCACACCGGGTAGTTAGCATCTGGTAGAAGTGGCAATGTGGTTGATGCGGTGTTCAAGTGCAGTGTTCCTGAGTATGGCAAGCAGGCATGGGTTCTAGTCTGATTCTAGACTTTTTTTGATGAACACAGAAAAAAACATGGAATTGCACCAGTCATGTACACTGTGGATATACAGAGCGTTGTGGCATGCAAGTACAACGTGTATTGGAGTATGATCTGGTACTATGGCTGCCATTCGCCTTGGGCTGACAGGACTGAGGCTCTAAAGTGGTGCCGTGAGTACTGTGGGAGTCGTTCTGTGTATTTCCGTGCATGCGTTGGTATAGAGCTGTGTATGATTGTATGATGCATGGAATATTATGTGAGCATCTACATCTACATGTATGCTCCTACATGATTTGTAGTGGACATGAGCACTATATGCAGCCTGATGACCTTAGGCATCTGTGTATGCTTCTATATGTGTATGACAGCAAAGAGCAGAGCAGGGGAGGGTTTACTGATGTTTTCGAAACTTTTCTGAAAAATTTGGCCATAGTGAGTTTCAGAAGCTGGAAAGCCACCATCCCCACCCTACCAGCCTACAAACTGTTTTTGACTTATAGGATTTCTTACTACTGTGGATATGTTTTGTATCGGCAGCGGCGTTCAAACACTCTTGCTTCCTGATCTAGTCTCCATGACAGCAAGCTATACGGAACTCAGACCCAGACCTACCCGATTCATTCATTTAGAGTGGCTGGTCCGATCACCATGACGAAGAGCCAGATAAGAACTCAGACCCAGACAAATTTGTGTGTCTTATACCAGGGGAAACCCCGTAACTATTTCTAGCTGAAGAGAGGTTACCATGGCTTCCAGCTGTCTTTAAAAAAAAGGAATGGATTTCTTCAATGCAATAATTATGTCCTGACTGACTCCATAATTTTGCCTGCGCTTTGACAGCATGTGTATATTGAGCTGCTGCCTGGTAGCGTAGACACTCTTGTTGCCATGGTTTCCGACTGGGTTCAGCTGCAGCGTCACTGACAAGGCCTTATACCCATAGGTGTGTGCAGCATGCAGAGGAGAGCGTGTACAATACATCCATGTAGAAGCCACTTGAGTCATGCGATTCACTGACCCCAGCGCACACCGACTCACACATCCAGGCATGGAG